TTGTTCTCTAGTTTCCTCATTTATGTCACTGTTGTCTGATGTATGTGAGCACATTTGTGTGTGTCTTAATACGGATGTATAGATATGTTTACGTTTAGGAGTTTGGGTGGATCTGTTTATGGATACAGATTTCCATACATTTAAATTTGTTTTGCCCTCCTTCTTTAAGTCCATGTGGTGTGGTGTTGTTAGTCATCTCTATCCACAACCTTCTATCTCGTGTACTTTCAATCAACTCTGCCACAGATGATCCTCCGTAACATCAAGTCAGTGGTGTTGTTAGTCATCTCTATCCACAACCTTCTATCTCGTGTACGTTCAATCAACTCTGCCACAGATGATCCTCCGTAACATCAAGTCAGTGGTGTTGTTAGTCATGTCTATCCACAACCTTCTATCTCGTGTACTTTCAATCAACTCTGCCACAGATGATCCTCCGTATCATCAAGTCAGTGGTGTTGTTAGTCATGTCTATCCACAACCTTCTATCTTGTGTACTTTCAATCAACTCTGCCACAGATGATCCTCCATGCTGTGTGGCGTTGGTAGTCTTATCTATCCACAACCTTCTGTCTCATGTGCTTTCAGTCAATTCTGACACAGATGATCTTTCATAGTCCTTGCCGTGTGGGGTTGGTAGTCATGTCTATCCACAACCTTTTGTCCATGTACTGTCAATCAACTCTGACACAGATGTAGACAGTTATAATTTCTTTAATTATACTCATTATTATTTTTTTTCTTCTGCTTTTCATCTCCCACTACTCGCATTGTGTGTCCCAGGGCCTCATTGTGGGGAAAAACAAGAAACAACTCTGACTGACTGACAAGCATGTCCTAGTAGTCGACTAATAAGGGGCATCCTTGGGTCGGAGTACATCTTCCTGAAGCAAAGGACCAGGAGTCTGCATACAAGTAAGCCAGATCTGTGAAACGGATGTGCACGTGACAGTCAGATTCTGGAGCAAGGCTAACGTTCGGAGGTGGACGAATACCCAGAATTTTCAGATGGAGTTTACAGCTGGTGAAGGTGAAGAAGAAGAACCTCCCACTGCACTCTCTCACACACACACACAAACACACAAAAAACAAAGGCTATCTTCCGAAAAAGGGTGCCAAATTAGGGCAAGTTAGGGTTAGGGTCTCAGTCACATGTAAATTGCGGACTTCTGACACCGAGAGTATCTCCCACGCCGCTACGCGCAGCATGGATTGGGGCTAAACTAGATGACTGGGACTCACGAGCAAATAAAATGAAGGAAACTGCAGGAAATGCAGTAGCTGCTGCTCGTGAGTCCCAGCCATCTAGTTTAGCCCCAATCCACGCCGCATGTAGCGGCATGGAAAATACTCTCGGCAGTGGCGGTAATCGCCAGAAGTGCACAATTTAAGTCGCCGGAAGTCCGCAATTTACATGTGACTGAGGCCCTGTTAGGGTATATTTTCAGCCTCGATAATTTGGGACCATTATTCGGAAGATGGCCGAAACAAAAATAAGCATGCTAGCATGAGACCACTTGATGTTACCGTTCCCCTCCTCCTCCCCCCCCCCCCAATCACAGAGTTCCGATTTCTGTATAAAATATAGGTTCCGCCCGACGGTGTGGAGAAGGGTCCTTAACTGTACTTGACATGAGACCATTAAGGAACCCTGAAATGAACCGAAACTGTACAGACTTGTCCATACAGGAAATGGGTCAGCTGTGATCATTCATGAGAGTCCTCATCTGTACTTGACATGAGACCATTAAGAAACCCTGAAATTAACCGAAACTGTACAGACTTGTCCATACAGGAAATGGGTCAGCTGTGATCATTCATGAGGGTCCTTTATCCTTGATCCTATTCTAAAAATCAAGTCAGTTCAAAGGTCAAGCCCTGTGAATGTTGTGTCGTTTGAAATGTGTAGTGTTGTTGATACAGATAACAGGATTCAAACACTACATCAAATCAGGCTCCAGTGGCTGGGGTCGAACAGGGGGCATGTTGGAAATCTTATCAAGGGTATTTTTTCTTTGAATATGTTATCTCCCTGTTTGGGTTCCGAGGCACTGTTTTTTGGGGGGAGGGGTTGGACTGTTTTTTTTAACAAGCATGTCATAAAATTTGGCTAACTAGGGGTTCTCTTAAATACGATGTGTTAGGCCAAAAGACACAGATAATTCAGCCTAGCTGTGGACCACAACACAGTGTGCCCTCCCTTTCCTTAAAAAGCTCTGCTGTAGCAAATATAAAATTCTTGGCATTTAACTCCACTAAGGTCGCATTTAGAGGCAGTACTCTCACCATTTACCTGACATTAACAAAGATTGCTGTCAGAAAGTTTGTGTCCAGAATTAGCAAACTGGGACACTCCACCCTTTTGACATTTCCTCCAGCAACTGGGCTAACAGCCGGGCAAATGCTGGTGTGTTAAAGTCAAGTTGCAAGGCTTGGGATTTAGTGGTGGCGAACAGTGGTTTCACTGGCAAAAACAACATCATAAGTTTCAGGAACAGTTTGCGATCCATTCCTTGATTGGCAACAATAGCTATTGCCATTCTGTGTTGATGTACAAGCTCTGTAATGTCATCAGTCCATCTTCTCCTAGAGCGACCTTTTGTTTTCACTTCAGATCTTTTCACCTGTAGTGCCTGGTTTGGTAGTTGTTCTGGCTACATTCTTACAAGATGACCAAACCATGTAATCATCTCTTTCTCAATGAATTTGCTGCATGGTGTTTGTTCCTTCAGTCTCTCTGATAATATTGTTTCTAACTGTCTCGGATGGTTTAAGTTGGCCGCTTTTTTCAGGCGTCTCATTTTACAGGTGTTAATTTTACGTAGGTTAGCCTATGATAATGTCCAAATCTGGCACTGGCAGTATAGCGTTGGTAGAAATATGCTGTTTATAATCTGTTTCTTGGCGCTCATACTTGTGTTTGGGTGTCTTAATAATGGCGTCAGTTGGTATGTAAGTGCACTGGCTCATTGGCATGTGTTTCTGTTTGTTGATCTGTTCTGTGCTCCTCTGAGAATATACTTCCAAGATATCTTATCACAAAAACATGAAACATGTTATTTCACATCTGTCATGGCAGACGGGGGAAATAACCTCATTCTCAATTCCTACGCTAGTTTCAGAGCTCCTTTTTGGGAGGAAGACAAAAGAATAAGCCTACCGCCCCTATCATGTGTGTCCTAAAAGGCAATAGTTAGGGGTTCACTGAAATCGTATGTGTTGTGCTGAAAGGTGCAGATATCACAGCCTGTTTGTAAAGTACAGCACATGGTGTCAACTGCCCTTTTAAGAACAAATGAAGAACAAGAAGGAGAGGAAGCCAAATGGGAAAGATAGAAAGAACAAGAAGGAGAGGAAGCCAAATGGGAAATATAGAAAGAAAAAGATGGAGAGGAAGAAGAAGAAAGAAAAAAAAGAATAAGAATGTGAGAAGGAAGAATAAAACGGAGAGGAGGAAAAAAAAAAAAAAGGGGGGGGGGAGGAAGACTAAGAAGAAGAAGAAGGTCAGGAGGAAGATCAAGGAGAGGAGGAAGAATAAAAAGAAGCAGAGAAAGAAGATAATAATAAAAGAAAAAGATCAGTCTGATATCCTGCACACACAAAAGAAGAGAGGAGGAAGAATAAAAAGGAGGAGAGGAAGAATAAGAAGAGGAAGAAGATGATGGAGAGTAGGAAGAATAAGAAGAGGAAGAGGAAAAAGATGGAGAGGAGGAATAATAAAAAGAAGGAGAGGAAGAATAAGAAGAGGAAGAAGATGAAGGAGAGGAAGAAGAAGATAATAATAAAAGAAGAAAATCAGTCTTCTGATATCCTGCAAAAAAGGTCACCTTTGAGGCAGACATGATCAAATTATCAAGTTTTAATTAATAAAAAGATACAGCAAACTGAATTAGCATTTGTCATATCTTAAGTTCAGAGCCACAGTGGCATAATTGTTAGTGGCCTAGCCTGTCGGGACATGGGTCTGGGTTTAAAAGCCTAGCAGAGGCAGAATTATTTTGAACAACCCTTGAGGTTTTCGGGCTCGACACAGACTCATACAGATCAGCAACAAACTGTTTTCAGAATGTTCTGGGGATCTTCTGGAAGAAACAATCCTTCTTTCCGTCTACCGACTGTAAACTCTGACCCAAAGTACTGGTTGTTCGTCCACTTTTGGACTTTTGTCTTTCCACCGGAGTTATGCATGCACATCTGTTTTACAGATCTGGCTTTTTTGTATGCAGACTGTTGGTTTCTCTCCTCTTGGGCAGATGCACTTTAACTTTGAAGGAAAAAACCCTAATTAGTTGGCTTTGGAGGGGAGGGGGGAGCAGGAGTTTTCCTTATTTTCCCTCCCATATTAGGGCCCTTGAACCGACACAGAATTCTGGTCTCAGAATGTGTTTTATATAGCACCATCTTCTCTGTCTTATAACATTTGATACTTATGGTTGGTTGCCCAGACATTTCTCTTATTTCTTCATATAGGAAATATGAAAATTGAAGAAAACCATAAACTGACTAATCTCTGTCAATGACCTGGAAAACTAGCTGCACACAAACAGCCACAGAGAGTTGTGTGGCAAGGTCAAGCAATTTATGACTAAGGCTAAAATCTATATATAAAAGGGTCAAGAATGTCGATGGTATCTTTGAAGAAGTTTCCCCTAAAGATAAAATCAAGGAGAATAATCAATGATTGCACACTAAAGAAACAATATATCCACCATGTTAATGACACAATCTTAGTATATTGTCTCATTATTCATAGTACAATTTTCTATCATAATCATATCCCAGGTCAAAGCAAAACGTGAAACAATACAAATTACATTTTAGTCATATAAATAATTACAAGATGTATACATTTAAAATAACAAATATATTCTCTGAGAACTAAATTATGTATCCCAATTATAACCCTGAGAGTTGAACAGGATCTTTTTGAAAAATTACTACTACTACTCTTTATTTCTGCACTCCTCCTAGATGTAACTGTTTAATTCTTCTAATTTCAGAACCCAGACGAAGCTCTGGAGAAACTCTCCCCACAAAAACTGGACAAGACCTCCCTGGAGGAGGACAACCCAGGAGCTGTTGGCCTCAAACGAGATGTCGGGCTGTTCTCTGGTATAGCTTTGATCATTGGCACCATGATAGGTGAGTGTGGGCGGGACTGGTGTCATTGTTGATGGTAAGGGAGTGAGTAGTTTAATTGTTTCTAGACAGGTTTGGTGATTCTCCTTCTACAGCATTCTCAGCTCTTGAGGTACAGTGCTGCAGATATCACCGGCCTCCGTTCCTCTCTGTGATTGGTCCTCTCTTTTTTCTTGGTAAAGTCAAGTGTTTGTAGGTATGCCTGGATTTTTATATCCACAAACTTCTTGGTCTACCTCTTCTATTTAACTCTCTTGTGTACACAGTTTTTGCCTCTCTGTCATCTGCCATTCTCTGCATACCCCAGCCATTTCGGTCTATTATCCCTCATAATGCTATTGATCAGTGGTAATTTAAATAGATGAATTCCAGTGTAGCTTCTCACTGTCCCTCCCTCATTGTTTGCATCTTTAGTGGGTCCAGAGATCCACCTCAAGACTGTTTAAACAAGTTTATAATCAGGCTTCATCTCTTTTAGTTGTGTTGCAGGTTTGTTTCAGGTTTCATAACCATTTAAGACAACTGTTCTCATCGGAGCATTACAAATTGTGATATGGGTGTTGCTAGACAGAGACTTTGTTTTAGTAGATGTTGTAGGGCATAGTATACTTTATTTCCAGATTGTGTTCAACACCGCATTTCTTTTTTTTTTTTTTAATATCTTTGGTCACGTGAAGATTTTAAGCAGCTGAAGTGTGGAAATGAGTAGTATTTTTGTTGATAGATGAGTTTGGTGAGTAGCTTAATTCAAAACGTTTCCCAGTAAACACAAACAACATTGCACAGTACATTGCTGGTTATATTTCTGTGTATCCCATAAGTGGCATTACTGATGTTCAGCATGGCTAGAGTAGACAATGGGATTTCTGTTTTTCTGTGAAAGGATTCAATTTTATCCTTCAGGGTTAAGTTAAGTTGAGTCAAGAATTGACATCACTGAATTCGGGGCATTTCTGTGTGTGCTCCGTCCTCATCTTCAGCAGCCAGCACAGAGTTCCAATACTAATGTTACCATTCGTAATCTGGTTATATGTCCCTCTTGCCTTTCATCTGGCCAGACCCCCTGGTTACACCCAAATGCCTATTTCTCTCCAGCCCATAATAATCCTTCATGGTATAGTGATACGACTTTGTAGTAATGAACCTGCTGAGATTCAGCAAAATATGCCTGCCAGTAATTTGTGCAATATTTTATTTGTGTCTGCATTATTTACAGTAATATATTTGTTTATAAATGAGTGTGGGAGTGAGAAGTATAATTGCTGATGTTTAAACTACAAAAGTGAATCATAGACAATTGGTAGATTAGTTAAAAATTGTCTGGAAGTGGCGGAGATGTGGTTTTATAGATGAATGATAAGAATAACCTGGACAGATAAAAAGAGTAACGAAGATGTCTTGAGGGAAGGACTCACAAAGAGAACTGATTCCCAACATTCTTTGGTCATGTGATGAGAAGGAGAAAACTGGAGTACATCATAACATTGGGAAAGTTGGAGGGGAGGAGAGACATTGGAAGACCGAGACAAAAGATGCTGGACAGTTTGATGTCATGGAGGAACATCTGTGTCAGAGTTGACTGAAAGTACACGAGACAGAAGGTTGTGGATAGACATGACCACACAGCGTGGACTTTGAGAAGAAGTAATCTGTATTGTTTTTTCCTATATTCTTCTTCTTTCTTTGCATTCGCCAGCTATAAACTCTGGTGGATTAATCAAGTAACAGAAAGTATTGTGAACGGCACTCATAGAAAGAAGTAGAAAGATAGAAGAACACACTAGACAACATAAAAATCGAAAGCTATAGTTACCGTGCCGCGAATTGAACCTGTCACCTCCAGACGGCGTCTGCACCTCGCCATGAATACAAGTGCACTAAGATACATGGTCAACTAGGCACCCCCCCAAAAAAAAGGTGTCTTATTAGCCATGTCTATCGTACAGCTTGAAATCCACAAATATGGAATACGGGCAGAATTCATTTCAACCCATTGAAATGGCACCATAGGTTTCAGAAATTTATATTAACGAAACATGTGTCGAATAACAATCACAGCAACAATTTATGAACACATTAAGACCTTATGCTTTGTCGGGTGGAGAGTTCTGGTTGTTCGTCCACTTCTGGAGATCAGTCATGTTCCAGAACCTGAGTGTTGCATGTGCATCCCTTTGACAGATCTGACACATTTGTGTGCAGACTGTTGGTTCCTTGCCTCTCAGGCAGATGCATTCTGACTTCGAAAGAAGCTTCCAGTTAGTGGACTCTTAAGACATGCTTTTGGATAGGCAGTGGGGCTATTCTTGTTTCCCAAATAATAGGGCCCCGGAACCCACATGGGGGTTTCCTATATTGTTATGAATCAACTTCTTATGATTTCTTAATTACATTTTTCTTATCTTTGTTTTCTTCTTCTTCGCGTTCACTGGCTGTAAAGTCTGACAGAAAGTTCTTGTTATTTGTTTACTTCTGGACTTTGATCTTGTTTTAGAATTAGAGTTTTATGTGCACATCCATTTCTCAGATCTGGTTTATTTATATGCAGACTGTTGATTCCTTGCCTTTCAGGCAGATGCACACCTAGTTTGAAGGAACCACCTCTAATTAGTTGCCTCCTATGACATGCTTGTGATGGAGACAGTGTGTCTATTCTGTGTTCTCCAAACAGGAGCCTTGAAACCCACCACACAGGGAAATCTTGTTCTTGTTAACGACTTGCCTTCTTATGATTCTTCTTGTCTCCTCTCTCGCAGGTTCCGGAATCTTCATCAGCCCCAAAGGAATGATTGAGGGATGTGGCTCTGTGGGGCTGACATTGATTCTCTGGTGCTTGTGCGGGCTGCTCACCACAATGGGTAGGAATTGACATTAACATCTTCGGAAATTTGGTATTTATGACTATAGCTTCGTTAGCCTTAGTGACTTGCATTTTTGGGAAGGGTGGGGATATTTGGTCTGTCTGGGAGATTAACTGTAGTTAGATTTGTCTGTCTGTGAGATCGGCTGTGGTTAGATTTGTGTGTCTGTGACTTTGATTGTGTAGTTAGATTTGTCTGTGACATTGACTGTGTTTAGATTTGTGTGTCTGTGACTTTGATTGTGTAGTTAGATTTGTCTGTGAGATTGGCTGTGTTTAGATTTGTGTGTCTGTGACTTTGATTGTGTAGTTAGATTTTATGTCAGTGAGATTGGCTTTGGTTAGATGTATGTGTCTGTGACTTTGATTGTGTAGATTTGTCTGTCTGCGAGATTGGCTTTGGTTGATTTGTGTGTCTGTGAGATTGACTCTGTGGTTAGATTTGTCTGTCTGTAAGATTGATTTTGTGGTTAGATTTGTCTGTCTGTAAGGTTGGCTCTGTGATTAGATTTGTGTGTCTGTGAGTTTAACTGTGGTTATATTTTGTGTCTGTAAAATTGAATTTGTGGTTAGATTGACTGGTTGTATGGCTGCCTTATAATATCAGTGTCTTCTGTTTTATATTTACTTCAAGGTTCCTTGGAGTGATCATTCTTCACCTGTTTTTGTTTACTTTCAGGTGCCATAGAGTGATCATTCTTCACCTGTTTATTTTAAACTATCTTAGAGTGATAATTTATTGCCTGTTTATGTTTAATCTAAACTGTCTAAGAAAGATAGTTTTTCACCTGTCTTATCTCTATCCCGAGTTGTGGCAGAGTGATAATTTCCCACCTGTTTATCTTTGCCCTGACCTGCAGTAGAGTGATAGTTTCCCACCTGTTTACGTTTACCCTGATGTACAGTAGAGTGATAATATTTCACCTGTTTATTTGTACCTTTAGGTACAGTAGAAAGATCATTTATGTCCTTTTTTTCTTTACCCTGAGGTTCATTGTTTGATAATTTTCCACTTGTTTATGATTACCCTGAGCTGCACTAGCTTGATGATTTCTCTCATGTTTATATTCCCTTCCAGGTGCCTTGGTGTATGCTGAGCTGGGTACAATGGTCCCCGAGTCAGGAGGCGAGCACGCCTATCTGATGTACACGTTCAACAAAAACCGTGACCGCCGCAACATTTACAAGGGTTCCAGCTGTAGGGGCTCCCGTTCCTTTTCCCGGGTGCCAGCATTTTTGTACGACTGGGTGGCCCTGTTCATCATCCGCCCGACCATGTTTGCCATCATGGCTATGGCTCTGGGCACGTACGCAGTGAAGCCGTTCTACCCGGACTGCGACCCTCCTGCCATTGTGGTGAAGCTAGTGACTGCGGTGGCTATGTGTGAGTAGGTACTGTCATCAAGGGCTGTGTGGGTACAGGGGGAGTGTGTACTGTGTGGGGTACTGAGGGAAAAGTACTTTTCCCTGGGATTAAAAAACAATGTGTATCGGGTGACTCATGACATGACCCTTGACCTATATCACTTAGGCCTACAGGAAAATTTAAAACCTCTCTAAATGTTTTCTTAGTTACTATATTCATATACTGACCTATTAAACGCTGTGTAGGTGCACATACGATCAATGGAATTTAACTACGCTTTTTGAGAACAGGTCCCTGCAGACGTGACAGTATATCGGCATTTACAGGACAGTGCCACAGCCGGAAGTGACTAGATTTCGTTTTCTCTGGGAGCCAGGGTTCAGAATAAACTGCAAGCCCTATGTGACATATAGTGACACAACAGCCTTCAGCTGGAATTGAACTGGGTACATGAGAATTACATACCATGTTTGCAATGCCTACGGCACATATGCCAACACTTAGCAAACATGTTGTTAAAGGTGACTGGATAGGTTTTTGCGGATGCTGTTTATGTTGGGCCAAAAAGTGCAGATATCGCAGCCCATCTGTAAACCACATGGTCGTTGCCAACTACCCTTTCGAGAATGAAAACAGAAGTATGTCAGTGACACTTTTAACACAATCAGATCAGTCAAGTACCGGCTGCAATGGATCTCTGACACACTCACTCTGTATCTTGGTTGTGCACTCTCTCCTACTGCTCTTCATCCCTCTCTTGATATTATCCTCCCACTTGTATCTTTGTCTGCCTCTTGCTGTCTTGTCTTCACCCGTTTTGTTTTTGGAAATAATCAGTGCTATATGCAAGGCAGCATGTGCTGAAGATCTAAAAAAATGATAATCATTTGTCTCTAACTTGATTGTGAGGGCTAGCTATACCTATTATAGCAACATGACATGAATAACAGGCAAAACCTTACAGTCGCTACCTCAACCAACACAGACCAGGAGTTGTCAGCATCAACACACTAAGAAACATTCTTAGGAGTAGATCTGAGCACTTATGGGTATGCTCGACATGCAGTGATTATGATCTTGAAATGAACAATGAACTTCACCCTTTTAGAACTGCTTATCTCGTCCACAGGCATCATTGCTTTCATCAACAGTTACTCAGTCAAAGCCGCCACCATGGTGCAGAATGTCACCACCTTCACTAAACTCATCGCCTTGGCCATTATCAGCATTGGAGGCATTGTTATGCTTTTCAAAGGTAATCTTCTTCTTCTTCTCCTCCTCCTCCTTCTCTTTTTATTCGTTTTTTTGTTGTTGTGAACATAATTACATTGTGACTGAGATGCGGGGGTACCGAACCAGCCTCATTGTAACAGGACCAAGGGGTCACACTGAACAAGACTCCACTACAGGTTTCTGCAGCCATGCTAGAAACAGGTTCCCCAGCAGTGATCTGGCAACTGTAGATTGAACTGGTATTTCCTTTGAAGTCATAGTGCATCTCTCTGAGAGGCGAGGAACCAACAGTCTGCACAGAGATAAGCCATATCTGTAAAACTAATGTGCACACACAAGCCAACTCCCAGTACAGAAGCAAGGTCCAGAAGTGGATAAACAGATGGTTTGTAGGTGATGAACGCGAAGAAGAAGAAGACATTGTGACTCAGACAGTGGGCTTGTCAGCCCGCAAGAAGATTGCACAGTGTGCCGACCCACAAGGGTCTCCAAAATATCAGAACTTGGGAACCAGTCTTCAGAACAGTGGCAGAATGCCTGACCATGTTCACACTACATGGTGCTGCTAAGTAGAGACCAAAACCTTATGGGCCATATGGCTGTTTGACGTTTTCGGGCCATTTGACAGCACAGTGAAGGTTGTGCATCACTGTGGGAATATTGTATATTAGTGGTTCTCAGCTAAGGATTGTGGGCTCCTGTTATTTTCTGAAGATAGCGAAGTTCATACTACAGTCATTGCAGAACAAACGAAAGAACAAGAAGAAGAATTTTCAAAAGTCAGCCATGAACCCCATAATGCTACTGAAGAACGTATAATAGATGAATATTAGAATCAAAAGATTGATTGCATTCTAAAGTTGAGAAATTTTTCTCCTTTAAAAAAAAATTTAAATAAATCATTTTATAGACCAATGAATGGGAAAGAATGCATTGTATCATGTCATTACCATTAGAATAGCCAGTGTGATCAGCCGGTTGTTGTCCATCACCACCAGGTAACACAGAACATGTTTCCGAGGGGTTTCAGGACACAAACAATGACCCCCAGAAAGTTGCCATTGCCTTCTACAATGGGCTGTGGGCATTTGATGGCTGGTAGGTGCCATTCTCCTATCTTTCTTTTTCTTCTTTGTTTTCTTTCTTTCTTTCCTTCTTTTTTCTTTCTTTCTGTCTTTTTTTCTTCTTTTTTATTTGTTTTCTGTCTTCTTTTTTGTTCTTCTTTCCTTCTTTGTTTTCTTTCGTCTTCTTATTCTTATTATTATAATTTTCTTAATCCGCTTCCTCCTCTTTCTTCTTGTTCTTCTTTCTTGCCTCCTCTTTCTTTCTTGCCTCCTCTTTCTTTCTTTTCTCCTCATATTGTCCTCTTTCTTCTCCTCTTTGTTTTCTAGTTCTGTTTATATTTTTTACATGATAAAAGACCTTTAAAATGACCTGTTAGCATATCTAATGTCTATCTTTCTGTTGTCTGCCTGTTGTCCATCTGTCTGTCTGCCACAATCTATATATATAAAAATCAATGTTTGTGTGTTTGTTTCACCCCTATAGACTCGGAAACTACTGAACCGATTTAGCTGAAATTTTCAGGATATGTTTGTTGTGATACCGGATTTTGAACTGCCGTGGTTTGAAATTCAACCTGTCACTGTTAGAGATAGGAGACCACAATTTACGCAATTATATACGCAACTAATATTTATAACTTTAGTGATTTCTAATTATAGCCACGTTACTTAATGCGCATGTGCGATCGATTTACCATACCGTGCATGCGCAGTAGTGACGCTCCATCGTCAACATCCGCCCGCGACATTTAAGTGTTATATTACAAAGGAAACAATTGACTGCGGTTTTTAGTTGTTTTATCTAGAAATATTTAAAAAGGTAAGAGCATTTATTTAAGTAACATTAGTCAGTATGCACATGTTTTTTGTTTACTTTAAACAAATGTGGACCACTTCTTAAATCCCGCAATGATAAATGTATACACATTATCATCATTAACTATTATTAGTATTATTATTATCGTCTTCGAGTACAAGTAGTACAAGTTACAAGTAGTACAACCACAACATATCAACATTTGTGGTTGGCTTTCTTCTGTTATTGTTATTCAAAAGAATTATATAAATTTACACGACATTCCGTCTGAGGTCAGTGTTAGAATCTAAAAATATCTAAACAGGTGAGCGCATTTATTTAAGTAACATTAGTAGTCAGTATGTACGTTTTTTTGTTTACTTTAAATAATAAGTGTGGACCACTTCTTAAATCCCGCAATGATAAATGTATACAGTGTATACATTTACACATTATCATTATCCAGTAATCCAGTAATGATAAATTTATACACATTGGTCCATCAGTCTTATATGTACATTTTTTAAATTTCAAATACATGTGTGGACCACTCCTTAAATCTCACAATGGTAAATGTGTGCACATTATCTGTTGGCTTTTTCATATTGTCTTATATACCGTCTTTTCTTACTATTCGCTGCCCAGTTTCTATGCATTTCCTCTTGAGTCAAAATAGATTGTTATCTCATGCTCATATTTTTATTTATTTCAGCTATACTTCAAGTCACATTTGTAGTTATGCCTCCCAAACGACAAGCGCTTGGACTATCTACACCTAAAACACGCAAGAGAAGGGCATTAATTGCTTCAGAAACAGACGAGCAACGTAAGGTAAGACTGGAAACCATTCGAGTGCGCACTGCTGAAGCCCGTTCATCTCAATCAGACCAGCAACTGAAAACAAGACTAGACAACGTTCGAGTGCGCACTGCTGAAGCCAGATCGTCTCAGTCAGACGAGCAACGAGAAGCAAGATTGGAAACCAATAGAGTACGCACTGCTCAAGTCCGTTTATCAGAAACAGTCGAGCAACGGAAAACAAGACTGGACACCGTTCGGTTTGCGCACTACTTTATCCAGGCGAACACTGCATGTTGATTTGAATCTTGGTGCATTCCATTACAACAGCAATTATGATTACAGTCTTCATCCGCAGGTGCTTATTGGCAAAATGGATCACGTGTGCGTACATTGCAGTGCCTTTAAATTTAAGAATGAAACGCCGGGTATGTGCTGCGCTGGTGGCAAAGTTAAATTGCCAGTATTACATTCACCACCCGACATTATCATCATTGGTAGCAGGTGACACAAGCCAGTCGAAACATTTCTTGGCCAACATTCGCAAATACAATTCGTGTTTCCAGATGACATCATTCGGTGCAACGAATATTGTGCGCGAGAATTACATGCCGACATTTAAAGTGCAAGGCCAGATTTATCATCGTGCTGGCTCCTTACTACCACTGCCCGACGCAGATTACAAATTTCTTCAGATTTATTTCATGGGGAACATTGATCAACAAATTAATCAACGTTGTCGATTCAATAAGGGGACACAACGAGACATAGTTGCTGCTTTACAAAATTTATTTGATCAACACAACAAATTAATTAGATTGTTCAGAACTGCTCTTCAACAAATGCCAGCTGATGACTACAGAGTTGTACTCAGAGCTGACAAAACACCAGTTGGCCAACATGAAAGACAGTACAATGCACCAACAATTGATGAAGTGGCAATTGTTATGGTTGGCGAAGAATTCAACTCGCGTGACATAATTCTTCATCGCAGAAATGGTGATGTTCAGCGAGTCTCAGAAACTCATCGCTCATATGACGGATTGCAATATCCAGTTTTATTTTGGCAAGGAGAAGATGGATATCATTTCAACATCAAATTGAGAAATCCACAAACACATGAGGAGATGATTAAGAAAGTCAGTGCCATGAATTATTATTTATATCGATTGATAGTTCGTGAATACGCTAACAATCAGTGGCTCAGTGAACGTGCTATCTTAGCAGCTAAAAACAAGGATGTGTATGCCATGAATCTGAACATTCAAGACAAATTACCTGGCGATGTGACAACGTATATGTCTATCGATACTGTCATGAATCAGGACGAAGTTGTTAATTATCCAACTGAGTTTTTAAATTCACTTGATTTGCCAGGCATGCCACCCCACGTTTTAACCTTGAAAATTGGCGTGCCCATCATTCTTCTCAGAAACATCAATCCGCCACGTCTTTGCAATGGTACCAGGCTTTCAGTGAAAAAGCTGATGCTCAATATCATCGAAGGTACAATTTTAAATGGGAAATTTAAGGGCGAGAATATACTTTTGCCACGCATCCCAATGATTCCAATAGACATGCCATTTGAATTCAGACGCTTGCAGTTTCCGGTGCGACTCGCCTTTGCAATGACCATAAACAAATCACAGGGACAATCCCTACAAGTGTGTGGACTACATTTGGAACATCCGTGCTTTTCACATGGACAGCTATATGTGGCCTGTTCACGCGTCGGAAAACCTTCTGATTTATTTGTGTACGCGCCAGACGGAAGAACAAAGAACATTGTTTACCCGAAAGCACTTCAGTAAATACATTTATACTGTTAAATTACCTGTTTTTTTCCTAAATAAATGAAATCGGCACAATGATCCAATATAATTACATTTTGTTAAAGCGATTTTCCTTTCAATTCACTTTCTATTGTAGCAACGCGTGCAGGGTTGTTTACAGCAATTAGCAAATGTGTTCATTTTGTAATTATGGTGTATTTTTCCTCTTTTCGTTGCTTTTCACTAGGGTAGTTTTTCCAACTACTTCGATGAGGGAGAAAGTAGTAGGTGAACTGGGGGATGGGTGGTTAAAATAAACTGTTTACTGAGATAGATTTAAGTTACAGTAACTGCCTTACCCACTCAAAGTTTTATTAGCTGTGGTTTAGCTGTTGCTCTGTACATCGCTAGCGTGAAGCGAAGACACATTTCTATGTTCTCTATTTTCTATGTAGCCAAATTACGCCACAGCAACGCGTGGCCGGGTACAGCTAGTGCTGTATATTTTCTGCTGACCAATAAACATGAAATAAATGGAAGTCCATCATAGCTAAACAGCAGCTGCTAACTCAGAACTTATCTTCTTCTTCTTGGCATTCATCAGCTGTATTCTCGGGCAGAAAGTTCTGGCTGTTTGTCCACTTCTAGACTTAGTTTTGTTCCAGTGTTGTGTGCATATCTGTTTAACAAATCTGACTTATTTGAATGCAGATTCTTGCTTCCTTGTGCCTCTCAGGCAGAGGCACTCCGAACTTAGAACTTATAAAACAAACATTTATTTTCAGTCTTAACTGAATTCCTGGATGTATATGAACTAAAAAAGAAATTGCAGAACAACTAATATTAGTGTCTTTGTATCTGTTTTTCAGGAACAGCCTAAACTTCATTACAGAAGAGCTGAAGAACCCCACACAGTAAGTTTCTGCATCTTTCAGTTAAATTATTTATCACCCAGAGATGAATAATATATGAGGATATTGAAATATTGTTTTAAAAAAAACATCATTTATGAACATTAGTGTCGTTATTCAGTCTAAAGACTGGTATCCCATCATGTCAACAAACTCACTCTCTAGGTTCTGGGCCCCACTGTGTGGACAACAACAAACTCACTCTCTAGGTTCCAGGTTCCACCATGTGGACAACAACAAACTCACTTTCTAGGTTCCGGGTTCCACTGTGTGGACAACAACAAACTCACTCTCTAGGTTCTGGGCCCCACTGTGTGGACAACAACAAACTCACTCTCTAGGTTCCAGGTTCCACCATGTGGACAACAACAAACTCACTTTCTAGGTTCCGGGTTCCACTGTGTGGACAACAACAAACTCACTCTCTAGGTTCTGGGTCCCACTGTGTGGACAACAACAAACTCACTTTCTAGGTTCCGGGTTCCACCATGTGGACAACAACAAACTCACTTTCTAGGTTCCGGGTTCCACTGTGTGGACAACAACAAACTCACTCTCTAGGTTCCGGGTTCCACCATGTGGACAACAACAAACTCACTTTCTAGGTTCCGGGTTCCACTGAGTGGACAACAACAAACTCACTCTCTAGGTTCCAGGTTCCACTGAGTGGACAACAACAAACTCACTCTCTAGGTTCCAGGTTCCACTGAGTGGACAACAACAAACTCACTCTCTAGGTTCCGGGTTCCACTGTGTGGACAACAACAAACTCACTCTCTAGGTTCCAGGTTCCACTGTGTGGACAACAACAAACTCACTCTCTAGGTTCCAGGTTCCACTGTGTGGACAACAACAAACTCACTCTCTAGGTTCCAGGTTCCACTGAGTGGACAACAACAAACTCACTCTCTAGGTTCCGGGTTCCACTGTGTGGACAACAACAAACTCACTCTCTAGGTTCCAGGTTCCACTGAGTGGACAACAACAAACTCACTCTCTAGGTTCTGGGTTCCACCATGTGGACAACAACAAACTCACTCTCTAGGTTCCGGGTTCCACTGTGTGGACAACAACAAACTCACTCTCTAGGTTCCAGGTTCCACTGTGTGGACAACAACAAACTCACTCTCTAGGTTCCGGGTTCCACTGTGTGGACAACAACATTTTTTTTAAATAGCTCCCTTTACAAGCATTTTGTAAAAGTCAACTAATTAGGGTGCTTCCTTGGAAGTCAGTACATCTGCATGAGAGATGAGGAACCAACAGTCTGCATACAGATAAGCCTGATCTGTCTAATGTATGTGCATGAAAAACAAGAGGAAAGTCCAGATGAGAACGAACAACCAGCACTTTCTGCCAGAGTTTACACCCAGTGAACGCAATGAAGAGAAGAATATTGCAACAAACTCTATTCTCATCAATATCGTCAAAGACTGCTGGGAAAGTCATCGCCAGGTCACTCACGTTGACAGACTGTCGACTGGTTCACAGTTGGGAGTGATAATGTCTCTGCAAGATAGGAATGAAGAACAAGAAATCTTGCAGCTGCCTTCACTTCACCCACCCTGCAATTATATTGTCATCTTTCCACATGATAGTGTTATTTTGTGCTTTTTCCTGAGTGTTTTCTAGGGCCCCAGTTGGAAGGGGATATACCCACTGCTCCCTAAAAAAGATGTTATAAGTGGCTACTAATTCTGGATTTACAATCAGATGTTTCGGGCATAAAGGTCCAGATGTCACAGCTGTAAACCCCAACAATGTTGCAAATGCTCTTCTAGGGGTGAATGAACTTTCTGTTACTTAATTAATACTGTGCTGCAGTGAGGTATGATGGGAAGGCAGTTTGTGAAGATGGTGAGTGAGAGACAAGCCAGACTTGTTCACATGAAGAAGTTGTCCACAGTCAGTGAAACTGATTTCTGGGCATTGTAGTCACTTCAGTTTTCTTTAGTTGTATTTACAGTTCTTCTTCGCCTTCACTAGCTGTAAACTCCAACAGAAAGTCCTGGTTGTTCTAGACTTTGGTTCAGTGTTTGAGTTTTTATGTGCGCATCTGTTTCACATTTTATTTGTATACAGACTGTTAGTACCTCACCTCTCAGGCAGATACTCTCTAGCTTCGAAGCAAACTTCAGTCTCTTATCCACGCTGGTCAGTCTTGTTACTTCTTGTCCGTATCAACATCCTGGCATATCCATCTGATTCATTCGTGCTCCATCCTCCCATGCAGCAGCCATCTCACTGTCTCCATACCCAACGTACTCAACGAGAGTTGACTGGTATTTTTCTTTCTTTGCCCTGCAACCAGTTTCTACATGCTTGCCCTTGTTTAACTGGCCATTGATTGTCTCTGACAACCAGTCCTTCGGTTGGAAACCTGTTTCTGGGATGACTGCAGAGAGGTGAAGGCAGGTCTGTACCGGTATCAGCCCTGGTCATGATTCACCTCCAGCCTCTCCGTGCAATGTTTTGTTTGTGTCTGCATTATTTAAATATTTAGATTTGTTGTTGTTTGTGTTTACTGGCTCTAAACCTCACCAGAAAGTCCTGGTTGTGTTTACTGGCTCTAAACCCCACCAGAAAGTCCTGGTTGTGTGTACATTTCTAGACCTTGGCCAGAGTTCTGTGTGTGCACTCGTTTTAAAGATCAGTATGCAGACTGTTGGTTTGTTGCAGATATACTCCTTCAAAGGAATTCCCTAATCAGTGGACTCCTACGACATGCTTGTCAGGCAAGCATTGGTTCTATTCCTTGTTTCCCCATGACACAGGAGAATTTGGAAATACAAGCAAACTTTCTGTATTGACAGACATTTCTAAGAGTTGCCTCTGATGGACATTTTTCAGGAACCTTCCCCGGGCGATCATGATCGGCATCCCGCTGACAACCGTTTGCTACGTTCTGGCAAACATCGGCTACCTGGCTGTCATGTCCAAAGAGGAGATTATGATTTCCCACGCTGTGGCCGTGGTGAGTGTCCGAAAATTTTGTTGATGAGATGTTTGTGAACATATTTTTTTTATATATTACTTACAGTAACTAGCAGCGCCCGTGGCTTAGGCGTTGCAAGTCTGACTCGTAATTCCAAAATACCATGATCGAAACCCAGTGCTGTATGGGGCGTCGCAGGTCGACCCATCCTAAAATGGGTACCAGGATGGCTGTCTTGGGGAAGTAAAGACGGCCGGCATAATGCTGACTACATTACCCACCTAGTGCCGATTGGTCTGTAAAAATATATAGGTGCTCTTCCCATATACCTGATGGGCCTAAAGGTGTGAAAAGGGATCTTTTACAGTAACTAGCTTCTACAGTAAAGGATCCATCTGCACACCTTTGGGTGTCTGGGACATATAGGGCTAAACCAGTCACTACTCAGTGGGGCTGATGTGGTCAACGTTTTGCTGGCCACCGTTACTTTTTATGACTTTACCTCGTACCCATTTATGGCTGGGTCGACCTGGAAGACAAGGTCTGTTAATCACATGTGCACGCACAGCTCAAGTTCTGCAGCAAGACTGAAGTCCAGAATTGTATAAACAACCAGAGCTTTCTGCCAGTTCACAAGTTGTGATTACAACCAGAGCTTTCTGCCAGTTTACATGTTGTGATCACAACCAGAGCTTTCTGCCAGTTTACAAGCTGTGATCACAACCAGAGCTTTCTGCCAGTTTACAAGCTGTGATCACAACCAGAGCTTTCTGCCAGTTCACAAGTTGTGATCACAACCAGAGCTTTCTGCCAGTTTACAAGTTATCACAAACAAGAAGGATGCTGATTGGTCTTTATGATTATTAGTCACATAATGTGCCCAACTCGTCACTGACATAAATATGATCATTTACCTAGGACATATATAACTGTACATATTAGTTATACATTGTATTAAGTAGTGAGTTGTGGTGACATAGTTGAAAGAGCACTGACCTGCTAGTGAGCTGGTTCAGGATCAACCACCATTTTAAGAATTAAATTGTTTTAATGACAATTCATGAGTTAGACAAACTGGCGAGAGACTGACAATCATATAGTAATCCCTTGGTGATGATAACTGTGGTGTTGTATTGGTAACGTATCTTCCCATAGTTATGATAATTGTGGTGTTGTGCTAAATCTGGTAATCTTAGTTTCAGCTTCTTAGCAAATGGGTCACCCCATCTTTGTGCTAGATGTCTCTCTGTATGTGGCCAAATTATAATCTCATCAATGACCCCCCGGGTTCTAAAACACGTACGGTAAACATTTCCTTGCATGCCACAATACTTGCATAGGATTCATAGGAACAGAAATCTGTAGATGGCATTACATGGAGGGGCCACAGTTAGGACGGGAAAAGGGACTAATGAGAACAAGATTACTTAGCTGTGTATCCTTTACAGGATGTCGCAGAACCAGCCCAAGCATTTTTGGAGCTGTTTATAGTTTCACCAGGCAGTGTTATGTTCGTTAGTTTGCCGTTGCTTTTCCTGAATGGTCAGAACTACGTACCGTTGTATCAATCAAACACAAAAAGGTCCAGTGAGAAATCACCAGCCAGTAGCTGGAATTGAACCGGGGTATTTTGGAAATATGAAGTGTGTTGACCACGCCTAAGCCACAGCCGTAATGATGCAAACGAAATTGCAGACGGATGAAAAGTCCAAGAAGAAACCTGTCAGATACAGATGATGGCAGCAGTGATCCTGAAATCTCATGCATTTATTGTTGAAGATTCTACTTAACGCAGACGGGTCTTGCTAGTCACACTCACCATTACCGTGGGCTATGAGTCCCATGCCTCCCTAGTACAATTAGAAGAAAGAAGAAGTTTGCTGCATACAAGTTGTTCTAGTTGTGTGTAAATATCTTTTGTGGTACACAATTTCAGACATGGGGTGACCGCATGCTTGGTGTCATGTCGTGGCTGATACCATGCTTTGTTGTAGCTTCAACGTTTGGCTCATCTAATGGCTGCCTCTTCTCTTCTGGAAGGTAAGTGTTCGGTTCCATTTATGTCACAGATCTTCTCACTCTGTTGTTTGTTTTCTTCTTTCCTTCTGTCTTCTACCATGTTTCCTGATAAGACCTACCCCAAAAATTAGCCTGTGACGACTTTCAGGATTTTAATATCTGCCCTACTCTAAAAAAAAAAGCCTGCCACAACTTTCAGGATGTTTTTAATGTATGCCCTGCCCCAAAAATTAGATCTAATTCAGAAAGCCAGCTAGAATGAGAGACTTGTTGCAAACAGCCAGTCTAAGTATAGATGCCACTGTTGTGCACTTGATAGTCAACCATACCGGATCATGATCTGGGAGCCCAGTACAAAATTTTTTTTTAAAATTCCTGCCTTGAAAAGGATTAGGACGTATGAACACCAGGTGAGTGGCAAGCATGATATCCATTGCAACTGTGTCTCACAATTAGAACATATGAGCACCAGGTGAGTGGCAAGCATGATATCCATTGCAACTGTGTCTCACAATTAGAACATATGAGCACCAGGTGAGTGGCAAGCATGATATCCATTGCAACTGTGTCTCACAATTAGAACGTATGAACACCAGGTGAATGGCAAGCATGATATCCATTGCAACTGTGTCTCACAATTAGAACATATGAACACCAGGTGAATGGCAAGCATGATATCCATTGCAACTGTGTCTCACGATTAGAACATATGAACACCAGGTGAGTGGAAAGCATGATATCCATTGCAACCGAACATTTTCGGTGGCACACCTGAAAGCCTCTCTTTCTCTAGCCATTCTCCAGCCCTATGTGCTTTCATAGTCAGTGCATCTTCTGTGTCTTGCATCAACATTTGCCGAGGTCTGCCTCTGCCTCATTTTCCGGAAGCTGTCCCTCCATCTTAGTTTTTTTTTCAGCGCCACTGTGATGTTTAACACAGCCGGAATACCACAGTTTTCAGCTGATGAATCAGTTACCCTTGATGCTGAAATCATGTAGAATGTCAATGTTTGGCTTATTCTTGGTCTGTGGTATCATAAAAAAATTTCTGTATCATGTCAGATATGTAGCAAAGCTAAGTGTAGTTAATTGACATGCCAGGTGCCTTTATGGCTGGGCTGACTTGGCAGCTGACGTTATTTTTTTCTGGTTATTAAATCCATCCATTGTTGATTCAAACTGAAGGTCTTCAGGCCAGCAGGCGAGTATCTAGGCTGTCTGTGTAGTGTGATACATTTAGCTTGCCACTTTAAAAGTTTTGATTTTTGTTGCCAGTTGAGATGTTGTCGTATGGCAGTTTCGTCTCGCACTTTTACTTCATGATTACTTTCCCAAAATCAGTTCAAACATCCATTCAGCTTATCTCAAGAATGAGGTGACTCGAGCTCTGACTCCACAGGGTTAGTACAAACTCTTGGGTATCACTCGGCCAGGCAGGTCTCCTTCAGGTGCCACCAACAGATCCATTTTCATCCCTGCACGGAGAGAGGAGCGAAATAGCTCGAGGTTGGAGGGCGGAGTTCATCACTAATCCTTGCAGATAACTGGACTTAGCTTATGGGAGTCCTCAAGCGTCTCAGCAACACAGAACTGTAGACCTCTATATGTTCTTGACTCCACGCCTTACGTGAAGTGATAATTCTCATTGCACGTGACTAAGGGAAGGATCAATTCATCTCTCAATGACGTTCGCTGGTGTTGACCTCAACATACAGACCACATAATAGTTGGTAGTCTTTGCTCGACTTCTTCTGTGAAGTAACTTGGGCGTTGGGAACTATATGATACAATGTTACCTGATGCTCAGGCATTCTGCCTTTACACGGGCGACATAACGATGTTGCTCAAATACGCAGGATGGCAGTTAAAAGGACAGTCAGACTATAGCTTTGACACTTGTTGGATTCTCCAGCATCCTGTACAAACGAATGTTTTCAAAGAAAACGATTAACGATCAAGTGGCTGTAGCGCCAAGACACAACTGTTCACTCGAACGGACTAAGTAGAAGTGACATACAGAATTCTAGTTTCTAACTACTACAGTTGATATGGCTCAAGCACGCAGTGAAGTGGTCAAACTATTAAGCTTGAACAGGTGCAGAAAATGTGTTGTATCATACATATTGACACTATTCGCCAAAAAGGATCAATTTAGGAGCGATTTATATACATTTCTCACAGCTGGACTTCCCAACAACAAACGAACTATATATCTATGGACGGACTATCCCAGATTATAGGTACACCAAATAATATGGGGGTGTCCAGACTGTGGGCAGGTCTATTGTGGTAGGAGAGTTACTGCTGTTATGTGACAGATGTATTTATAACTATAACTTATCATAATTGTCTGTTCTTTAGGTTAAGTTTTTCTGCCGGACGCGATGGCCACTTCCCCAAGTTTCTGTCATTTCTACAAATTGACAGAAACACACCTATGCCAGCTGTCTTATTTACGGTAGGTGTTGCCAGTTAGAGTTAACGCTTTCAGTCCTTGGCAGTTGTTAGCTGTACAAGCTGTTGAGGAGTTGTTAGTCTAGTTACGAGTCCTTTAAGAATCATCAAAACAGGAGGAATGGTTTTTTTTTTGCCCCTCTGACAACCAAATGTAAATAGCAGTTTATTTGTTAAATCTGAAAATTAAAATTTTTTAGAAATTACAGTTTTCAGCTGATGTGACGTCTACTGCTGCAGAGAGGTTAGAAATTCCGATATACATGGCAGGAGTGTTGTTTCTTATTGACAAGCACTGCAATTAAATCCATTTGATTTCTGTTGGTTTTTTATAATGGAGGTGCTGAGAAAGTCTTGTAACACAAATATGAAGTTGAAAACACAACCAGAATTCTGAAAGTTGTTTAACTCGGTGTTCTGTTCCAAGTGATATTGAAAACTGAGACAGAAATTGAATTTAATTTTTACACAGAAGACACAAACAATAGATAGCACAATTTATTCTTCTTCTTCATCTTCTTCTGCCTATCTAGACTCCAGTGGAGCATAGGCCTTCAACCAACTCACGCCAAGTCGTTCTATCCTTTGCTATCGCATTCAGCTCTCCCCATGTCCTTCCCATCTTTCTAATCTCTCCAGCTCCCTTCTCCATGTGTTTTTTGTGTGCCTCTATGGATTCCAATGCAAATTCATTCTAGTTATATTTTTCTCCGGTTTTCTCAATGTGTGTCCTATCCAACACCAGCGTCTTTTCCTCACCTCTTGGTCAACTAGAGCTTGCTTAGTTGTCTCCCAAGCTCTACATTAGTGATTCTGTCCTACCATTTGATTCCCTCTATTCTGCACAGGCACCAGTTAATGAATGTCTGTCTTTATTGCCTGCCATATTTCTTGTTGGGTGCATACTACAGTAAGTTGATTGAAATGCAGCAAATAAATGCACCCATCTTCTGTCTAAAATACAAAGTAGACTTTATTCAAAAGTTACTGCTGTTTTACCAAGACAAGCACAAATTCACTATCATGTCTTTCTGTCTGTAACAGTATTCGCTATGGATTCCCTGTAACTTTTTGCTGGATATGTAAATGTAGAATGTATGTATAATTTATTTGTAACTTGTATTGCCAGCTAAGCCTGTCGTTATGCCTCATCATTCCTGGCGACTTGAGCACGCTGATTGATTTCTTCAGCTTTGCCTCCTGGCTCTTCTACGGCATCACCACGGCCGCGTTGTTGGTGCTGCGAGTCACTGAACCTAACACTCACAGACCCTACAAGGTGAGGTGATGTGTTTGTGTGCGCGTCTCTCTCTCTCTCTCTCTCTTTCTCTCTGTCTCTCTCTCTCTCTCTCTCCCTCTGTCTGTCTGTCTGTCTCTCTCTCCCCCTCTCTCTCTCTCTCTCTCTTTCTCTCTCTCTCTCTCTCTCTCTCTCTCTCTCTCTCTCTGTCTGTCTGTCTGTCTCTCTCTCTCTCTCTCCCCCTCTCTCTCTCTCTCTCTCTATATATATATATATATATATCTTCCCGCTCCCCCCCCCCCCCCCCCCTCTCTTTTAAGTTCTAGAACTGGACTTCAGTCCAGAAGTGGATGAACAACCAGAACTTATCGCCGTAGTTTTGCCTGCACACCAGTTTTACAGATCTGTCTTATTTTTATGCAGACTGTTGGTTCCTCTCCTCTCAGGCCGATGCTTTCTGACTTTAAAGGAAACATTTCTATTTAGTTTTCTTGTATGACATGCTTGTTAGGGAGGCAGTGGGACTGTTCCCACCCCACCCCCCTTTTTCAGAATGGGACCCCGAATCAGCGAGGGGAAAACATTAATTCACGAGGTGAAGTTGTGACACTGCACAATCTTTGGGCAGCAATAACAGGGGACAACTGGAGTAGGTTGTGGTACCTTAGAAGAAGAAATCCTGATTAACGCAGTGAAGATTGCTAAAGATTTATTGAATAGCAACCCGAAAAAAGTTTGTTTCATCATTCAACAAGCATGCCTTTGTAGCAACACCACGGCGAGTCATGTTGGGAAAACAAATATAGTGTACACGGAGCCAGAGAAAGACCATGCAAAAGAGGAAAAACAGCATCATTATTAGTCTGTTAGAGATGAAGACTAATTTCCACAAATTTGTTAAAGCAGGCAAAGGATTTTACATATCTAGGAAGCAGTATTTTCCAGAAAGTGGAAGAATGAATAGAGAAATACAACAAAGATGCAATAAAGCCAATAATCTGGTAAAAATCCTGGCCAGAATTCTCCTAAACCGTCTTACAGTGCATCTTGATGAAGACCTCCTGCCTGAGAGCCAAATTTGTAGGAAGAATGGCACCAATATTGAAATGCAAGCATGTGAATATGAACACTAAAAGAACACACACAGTTCAACACAATATTTGTACTAGCGCTGTGCTATCAGTGTCAGACATGGACACTGTCTTCAGAAGACAGAAGTGAAATATTTACGTACCATGCTAGGTCTTACAAGGAAAGATTGGCTAGGAATGATGATATCAGGAGGAGAGTCGACACAGAACCAATACTGAATTTTATTGGTAGACGTCAAATCAAATGGTTGGGCATGTAACAAGACTGGTGACAGACAGGGCACCGTAGAGAGCAATGTTGTACAGATAACTTCTGTAACAGAGCAAGAGGTCGACCACGCAGAACATGGACTGCAGAAATATCAGAAGCACTGAAAAGTGCTATATACAAAGCAAACAGAAGGATCTGTTCAGAGATGTCTTCCTGCCGTGATGCTGCAAGACATTCCAGGAGTAGAGAAAACAAGAAGAAGATTTGAAAGACCACCAGATGATCCTTTCGTATTTCCCTAACACTTTGTTGAAGAAGAGAAGAATAAATAATCTTTATCTGATTATAGAAAGATAATTTGTGTTCATTTTTTACGTAGCATTGATTTTTTTCATGTGTCCTCAGGTTCCATTGTTCATTCCTATCGTCGTACTGCTGGCTTCTATCTACCTGGTGATCGCTCCTATCCTCCAGAACCCGGGTGTGCAGTTTGTCTACGCCGTCATATTTATCAGCTGCGGTTTTGTGGTCTACGTACCTTTCATATACATGGGCATTCACTTCAAGTTTATGGGTGAGTAACATTACTATCATCATCATCACCATCATTATCTATAGATTGGTGGGAACAAAATGCCACAGATCATGTTGCCTAGAGGTTGCAAATCAGGAAAGGAATTTCTTCTGCTTCTTCTTCTTGTGTTCGCTTTCTGATTTACACTGGCAGACAAGTTCTTGCGATAAATTTGACTGTTTTTAGTTCCCTTTGAGTTCCAAACAAGTTTGAGTACAGTAGGCCAGTATTCCCTTCCTAATGGGCTGAACAAGGGACATTCTTGCAGACATGTTCTGTAGTCAGCACACACAGCCCACAGGGGCACAAAGGTGAACTACTTAGACGAAGCCTATGCTTGTTAAGTTTGTTATGTCCTGTCCTGAGATGTAGGATAATGACCTGCCCATGCCGGTCAAGTAAGTGTTGGTCATCTCTGGCCTTTCTTCAGAAAGGATGAGAGCTTGATGTTCATTGGCTGCAAACTGTTGTGTACAGTTATGGTTGTTGATCCGTTTCTGGACTTTCATCTTGCTCCAAAACTTAAGTTTGTCTATTTTATTTTTTCGCACATCTGTTTTTACATATCATGCTTATTTGTACACAGGCTGTTGGTTCACCAGCTCTCAGGCAGATGCACTCTGAGTTTTAAGCAAGGAGTCCTAATTAGTCGCCTCTCACGACGTGCTCGTTGGAACCCTATGGAGAGACATAAACATTATCAGTCTCACCCTTGAATTATCATCATCTTCATCACTATCATCAATTAATGTGATCGTTGTCAGCATTACCATTGTTATCATTAATATTGTTATCATCATTAATATCTGCCTAATGTCTGTACTTGCATTGTCCCAGACATTTATCTATCCTCATGAACTCTGTAAACATTAATGGGTTTCTACGGGTAAATGTCAACATTACTTTATCCCTTCACATTTCTTATTACATTTTCCCATGTCAAGTTATTGTTGTATGTTTATTTTCCTGCATGGAATAACTTTACTGCTATGTTGTTCTCTGCAGATACGGTGACCATCATTATCCAGAAACTTCTACGAGTGGCACCAACAGGTTCCTGAAAGCCTGGTCTGGTCGAGCAGTCAGCTGAAAATTGACTGTTCAGGATCATCTGCATATTTCACCCCTCTCCGATTGCTTAGGATATTCAACTAATATAAATTCATCTGGTTACAGCGATCCCTCTGCTAATTAAGATTATTTATTCTCGAATGACATTTATTAGCCAGAATTCTTGTCAGCAGAAATGTAATGGTGCGGAAAATTCAGCTGACAGCACGGCGTCGTCTGCTGTCTGTGTCACCCACTAATCAGCACACTTCCAAGTGTCTGAAGATATAACTTTCGCTCCCTCACTCTCGAAGCAGGACTCGACAACAATAGTTCCGTCATACACTGGGTTTATTTGACCACACAAGAGGGTAGTTACAAGCCCTCATATCAACAAAACTGCAGAAACGTAGACATGGATCCTAATTGGCATTCGAACATAGTCCCTGTAGTCGTCACTCATTCTCCCTCATTAGCAACTGGACCTCTGCCTAACCACTACAGCGAAGGTGTGCAGCGTCCTACACTCTGGGCTCGCCGTACAGCCGAACAGGAGTATGTGACCATACACAGCCACTAAAACATTCATTAGTCAATTATGAATTTCCTTAGCTGAGACAGAAAAACTAGAAAATATCCTTGTTAGCCGAAAAAATGTGTTTGCCAAGTCAGTCATTAGCCAAAGTATCAGTGTGTATAATTCCTCAATGATAAAGTCAGTATCTACACTTTAGCAAATGTCATTGCCCGCTACGTAAATATCGACTTTTCCCGTGTCTGTATTTGATAGTGATCAGTATGGATTATTATCACAGCACTCCAGACAGATCCATAGATCTTCTCTAAAGCTCCACAAGAGTGAAACGACTGATGACACCTGTTCTGTGCTGGTTAATGAAACCTTCTGTCCCCTTAGTGAAAGCAAGGGCCCTGGATAGCTTAATTCTGTTTTTTTATTGTGGGCAAATCCAAGAGATATCACATGGATTTACAGGAGGTGTCTTTAGTGCATCCAAGAATTATATGCATTGCCTCGTTTTCAATTTTTTCCAGTCTGTTCATCTGTGTGATGCTGTGTCATGATGGCCAATGCATATTCAGTGGTGGAGAGAACTAATGCACGAAGCAACATTACAAATAGCTGTTGCTCAAAGTTTGCAGCTCCTATGTTTTAATTCGGAGAGACCTTTCTTGGCTTTGGTTATATTGTAGGCTACATGTTTTTAAAATGCCAAGCATCTGTCAAATGTTATGCCCAGGTATTTCATGGATGATATGTGATCTAATTCCTATTGTAGATCTGAAACAATGTCATCTCTGTTGGTGCCCCGTCAATACATGAGGAAGTCAATCTGCATGTGATACAGTTCTTCCTCTGCTGCTCAGTTCCAGCCTGTCACTAACAGACATTATCTCAGCTCAGTTTAAAATGGGTCCGGGGATATTTTTGGGAAGTAAAGGCAATCATTTGCTGATTTGTCTACCGATAATGTAATAACAAGATATAGCCAACACACCTTATCTCATGAACAGAGTCTGTTACTTTACTAAAAGCAAGGACATGCTAGAGAGGGGTGGCTGGCTGAACAGTTTAGAATGCTGGGCTCTTGTGTGGGAAACCTAGGTTCCAATCCTCGGTAAGGTTGTGAATTTGTTCCTGTCAGGGGCACACACAAAAATCCTCACCTGGAGTCTGTTGGGGCAGCACTAGCCATGCGGCCTTAAATCCCCAGGTTCAACCCCCCCACCATCATCTACACTGCAACAGTGGTACATACAGGCAGTACTAGCGTGGTTATTGGTGTACTAGAGGACATGCATTTATCACTCTTTCATTGCCGAACGAAGAAAAACAGTCTTCTCCCTTTTTTTTCCTTCTTAGAGTTCACTGCCTGTAAACTCTGTTGGAAGGTTCTGGTTGTTCATCCACTCCTGGACTTTGTTCTTGATTCAGAACTTGCGTGTTATATGCACATCTGTTTTACACATCTACCTTATTTGTATGCAGACTGTTGGTTTCTTGCCTCTCAGGCAGACACACTCCAACTGTGAAGGAAACGCCCCTAATTAGTTGCCTCCAGCAACAGGCCTCTCAGAGGGGCAGTGGCTCAGAACTTCATTCTCCAAAATGGAGCCTTGGATCCCACACAGGGAGAAAAAGAATCTGAATTATGAGTTCCACTGTTTCTGTCCTATGGCACGACTACTGAAAGTGTTGGTACTGATGTGTTGCTTTTGGAAGCTCAGCTTTTAGAGGGGACAAGTTGCATATCCTTGACATGATATTATAGGACCTGTTTGTGATTTCACTAGGCAAGTTTACGTTTAGTAGTTTGCCATTGCTTTCTGATGCTGGTGTGTTAGGAAACAAGCAGCCAGATTGGCCGGCTCTGCAATTGGGGTGAATTGTTGTAAGGGCCCTTTAGGAGCCAGTGAACAGTGCTAAGGCACAAATAGGCCATAACGGTCTAAGGAGAACAGCGCAGAGGGGATTAACTAGGGAATCTGGTCAACGCTCAACACTCAAGGGAACAGCAAGACGGAGATGCAATCAGACAGTTACTGGCAATATCTGAATTGAAACTCTTCGCTTGCTGCTGAAGATGGGGACAGAGTGCTCATGGTAGTGTCCTGAGTGCTATGATGTTGATTCCTTAATTCAACAGCATTGCTTTCTGAATGGTTTTCTGTTTGTACCACAGTAGAAATCAACACGAGGCGGTCTGTTTTCTGAATGGTTTTCTGTTTATACCACAGTAGAAATCAACACGAGGCGGTCTGTTTAGAGATAGTAGGAGCTGAATTAGCAACTGCTTGGTTAAAGACCACCAGAACTAAGGGACCAACTCATGAAAAGCACATAAAGGCAAGCAGAAGCTTTCACACCAGCATAATCAACAGACACATAGAAGTTTTCAAGTCACGTGGGTGTGGTATATTTCATGAATGAGTGTCCCTGAGCAGTTGTTGTTGAACGATTCTCACATTTGTCTGCAAAAGATTTAATTATCTTATCGTTTCTTCTATACGTTTTAATGAGCAGTTATTGTGTGTGGTTGCGTCTCTGCTGACTGCTTATCTAACATAATGTGCCTTTTATTATACTACCTTTTTGTTTGCTATTTGACACTTTATAGTCTCTTTTACAGTTTATGTTAGCTGAATGTGTCTTTTACTGGTGTCATTTGAGTATATTTAATTTCTTGTACTGTTCATTGAATACTTTCACCCCAGAAACATTTGGGGACACTGGCCAGAATCCGGGCATATCTACTGAAATTCCTTTTAAAAAGAAATTTGTTTAAACAATTATTTTATAAATTGTGCTTAAATTTAATTATGTACATTTAAAACATATTTTCTTTGAACTCTTTCAGTCCCATGGGGTGTAGCATCAGAGGCCCAAGGTGTAGTAAAGAGAGACGTAGCATCAGCACATCTTGTGTACACTAGGCGTCTAGTTGAAAACTATGAACATATGAAGGGGAGTAATCAGTAAACATAAATGGAACAGGGAAATCAAATTATTACCTTCCCTTGAACCTGAAACAAATGTACAGTCAAATTGTATACATGGATAGCCCCCATAATCATATCTGACTCTCCTAAACATTGCACAGGTGCAAATAGAAACAATGCCAATTAACTAAGCTTGTTGGGACTAGTCAGTGCAACAGGGCTGGTTTAACATCTTCCCAGGGGATTTGTAACAGGCAGCGTTCCTGGATTACTGGCATCTCGGAACCAAAGGGTTATTAAGTTTACCACATGTACTCTTCTTTTTACTTACTATTGTTTGGGTAATTTGGCTGTATTTAACCTCTTTTGTTGTTATTTTATGGTATTTAATTTCTTTTATTATTCATTCAAGTTTACTACATGTAATCTGTTATAAGCTGTTGCTTAAATATAATCTGAGTGTTTCATCTCTTTTATTGTTCATGTACTTTTACTGTAATTACTTGAACTTTATTTGTACTTTAATTGCATTTACTTTCGTATTGTAATTCTTTATTTTTTGAAGCATCACGTGTGCATCTTTTATCTTTCTGTAATCCTCTGTTCATATAATTTAATGTTTATTTTATCAGAGGTAACCTCTTATTTATGCACTTATTCAAATCCTATACACAGCTACTGCCATTTGTTCATAGAATTTTATGTATATCTGATTATATTTTGGGCTTTTGTATATCTTTTATTTATTCACTTGTCACATTTCAGTTTATATGTGTTTGTACTGTTTAAGTTTCACTTTGCGCACCTGTTACCATTATTGTTCATGTTTCAGTTCCTTTTTATACGGAATCATCCAACAACAGGCCTCCTACAGAATGTCCCTCTCATCATGGCTCTCCTGAAAGTCTCTCTTTCACTAGCCAATTCTCCAGCCCTATGTGTTTTCATAGCCAGTGCCTTTTCAGTGTGCTGTTCGACGAGCTGGCCTCTGCCTCTTATTTTCAGAAACCCTCTTTTCCCGTTCTCTCCAGGCTACCATGGCACTTAACGACCGAAATACCTCTGCTTTCAGCTCAGGATGCTGTTTACAAGCCAATTCTCCTACATGCTCAGACCTTCCAGGGTGTTGGCATTTTGTCTTCTTATTTTTTTTTGTCCCTGGTATTCTAAGAATTGTTTCTATAGCATTTCATTTCCAATGCTCTTATTATTGTGTAGCAGTTCCTCTCCGTGTAGATTTCTTCCCCGTGTGGCCGTTCTTTCTTGGGGAAAGAGTGGACCTGAGGCTGCTAAGTTGACCCAGCCTGAAATGACAACCAGGAAATGTCATTAATATGTGGCTCTGTCTATGGTTTGATTGAACTCGTCACATTGCTATGTGGCTCTGTCTAGGGTTTGATTGAACTCGTCACATTGCTATGTGGCTCTGTCTAGAGTTTGATTGAACTCGTCACATTGCTATGTGGCTCTGTCTAGGGTTTGATTGAACTCGTCACATTGCTATGTGGCTCTGTCTAGGGTTTGATTGAACTCGTCACATTGCTATGTGGCT